CAGTCGGTCGGGTATTATAAAGTATTACCTAAAATTTATTCGTAAAATAAAAGTTCGATATTAACATATAAGGTTCCAATATACAAGATTATGTAGTTATAATCCAAATGGTTATTTTCATAACTAAAAATACAATCAGATTGATATGAAGATTGGTTGGGTATCAAAAACTATTATCCAAAATTTATCATAAGATTTGGGTAATTAAAAACTCTTAAAAGTTTTCAGTAATCAAAAGCTTAGGTTTATATTATATGTATTATACAAACTGACGTATAGAGGCTAATCAAATTTGTTTTTAAAATTGGTGTAAATTATTTTCAAAATCAAGTAAAAACTAAAAATACAAAAATATATATATAAAGGTAAACAAATTAACAATAGAAATCACAAATAAAAAAACAAAACATGCGCTACACACGAGTATACTTCTTTATAATGCATTCATATATTTTTTGCACTCCAGTTCTTTTCATTATCTTTATGGATAGTTAATTAAAATATTAGGTTATGAATAAGACATAAATACATGAAAGCTAAATAATAGATATTTATTGTACGATAGTTTTATTTTGCTCCTTAAATATTATTTTCTTGATGCGGAGTTTAGTTATATAATATATCATCAAGTCCCAATCCCAAAGGTTTGTGCAAGCCAGGCGCGGATCTCGTTGTTTACATGATCTCTGCAAATGAAAATACCCAAATTCATAAAATTATGTTCTTAAAAATGGCAATAAAAGCAAAAGAAAAAGTAAAGAAATCGGTGTTTAGACCCTCCCAATATTTTGAACATGGTTGAAAATTCATTATTGTTTAGAGTAAGAGCATTCTTTTGTGCGAATGCAGAGGGAACTACTTTCTCAGCTGTGACTCAAAGAAAAGGCAAAGAATTAGCATGATCTTGCAATTGTTATAGAAACACAAAATTAAATTACAAAAGATGGTAATATAACTTGAGAGACATACGAGTTCCATATGTAAATAAGATTCGTAGCGATGAAGCACGCACAAACCCCCCAAAAGCCGAATTCATTTCGTATTCTAAGCTCCTACAAGATCGAGTTTGAGATTCCATTAATAAAACATGTAAAAACACGTAAAAACACGTCTTTCCATCAAAACCGTAAAAACACGTCTTTCCGTTAAAACTGTAAAATCACGACTTTCCGCCAAATCCGTAAAATCACATATTTCCGCCAAAAAGTACAATCATGTTTTCCGCCAAAAACGTAAAATCACGTTTTTCCGCCCAAACATAAAATCACGGCTATCCCCTAAAACCGTAATCATGTTTTCCCGCCAAAACCGTAAAATCATGTTTTCCCGCCAAAAACGTAAAATCGTGATTTTCCGGTTTTGGCGTGAAAACATGATTTTATTGTTTTGGTGGAAAACATGATTTTACAGTTTTGGCGGAAAACATGATTTTACGGTTTTGGCGGGAAAACATGGTATTGGCGGAAATCATGATTTTACGGTTTTGGCGGGAAATATGATTTTTGGTTTTGGTGGGAAAACATGATTTTACGGTTTTAGATAGCCGTGATTTTATGTTTTGGCGGAAAAACATGATTTTATGGTTTTGGCGAAAAAACATGATTTTACGTTTTTTGCGGAAAACGTGTTTTCACGGTTTTGATGAAAAATCGTGATTTTGCGATTTTGGCCGAAAGCCATCGTTTTACAGTTTTGGCTGAAAACACAATTTTATGATTTTAGCGAGAAAAAAAATATGTATGATTTTGATGTGATTTAATTTTTTGTTTTGAAATGCAAATGTTGCATTCAAACTCTATCTTTTTCAGCATTCCAAATATTTAGATATTTGGAATATTTTTGATTTTGCATTCAAATGCAACATCTTAATTTTTATTATTTTGTAAAAAAAAATAACATTTTAGCATTTGAATGCTCAAATGCCTAAATGCAGCATTCAGCTACAAAAACGAACAAGGCCTAAAAATTTAATCATTACTCTATCTCTCTCTGCGATTAAAGTTTTAGAGGCTCTAGGAATGCATAAATCGGTTGGACACGAAATTTCAAGGTGGGAAAGAGGTTTATGATCCATTGACATAAATCTTGGTTAACCATGATCTTGTACTCACAAAATTGTAATGATATCTACAATAACCATGATCCTAAACACATTTTAGCATTTTGTGTTTTTGTACTCACAAAATGAAAATTATAAAGATAAATAAATTAACAATTGAAATCACAAAAACAAAACCCACGCTACACACGAGTATTCATCTAGTACTTTATAATGCATTGATATTCTAAGGTAGTTTGTGCACTCCAATTCTTTTCATTATCTTTATGAATAGTTAATTAAAATATTAGGTTATGAATAGGACATAAATACATGAAAGCTAAATAATAGATATTTATTGTACGATAGTTTTATTTTGCTCCTTAAATATTATTATTTTCTTGATGCGAAGTTTAGTTATATCCTCAGGTCCCAATCCCAAAGGTTTGTGCGAGCCAGGCGCGGATCTCGTTGTTTACATGATCTCTGCAAATGACAATACCCAAATTCATAAAATTATGTTCTTAAAATGGCAATAAAAGCAAAAGAAAAAGTAAAGAAATCGATGTTTAGACCCTCCCAATATTTTGAATATGGTTGAAAATTCATTCTTGTTTAGAGTAAGAGCACTCTTTTGTGCGAATGCAGATGGAACTACTTTCTCAGCTGTGACTAAAAAAAAAAGGCAAAGAATTAGCATGATCTTGCAATTGTTATAAAAACACAAAATTAGATTACAAAAGATGGTAATATAACTTAAGAGACATACGAGTTCCATATGTAAATAAGATTTGTAGCGATAAAGCACGCACAAACCTCCCAAAACCCGAATTCATTTCGTATTCTAAGCTCCTACAAAAACAAGTTTGAGTTTCCATTAATAAAGAGTACGTATGTAAATTAAATTTAAAAATAAATGGTGACAAGTGATACAAAAGGGTTTGAAGAGCCTACGA